TAAATAAAGAAAATATAAATGTGCCATTTATGGTGTGCAGCATAAAGCTGTGCCCTCCTGACTGGGGCTGGATGATGCAAGAGGCTGGAGAGCAGGGAATGCAAGTTAAGGAAGTTGTTTCAATTTGTGATTTTTTGGGGATTTTTTTAGGCACAAACAGATATTTCCAGAAAGTAGCATTGGAAAATAATTTGAAAGTAATTTTTGTTGACTGCACAAAACCAAAATGCCTGGAAGCTGCAATTACACCAGACACCAAGGTAAGGGAGAGAGAAGGGATTTTCAAGGGATGTTAAATTGTTTTATCCTTGTTCCTCTTGAGTTTGGGGGATGTTGAGCTGAGGGGGGGCAGCTTGGGGCACAGCTGGATCCACCAAATCCCACTGTGCTGCCTCATGGAAAACATCCTGAGAAAGGCAAAAACCCCTGGGGAGAGAGGGGAGGGAAAAGGGAAAAGGTGAGGAAGAGCAGAGAGAACGCTGAGCTCTGGGTGGGTGGCACTGGGTGGGTGGCACTGGGTGGGTGATCCCTGCTCCAGGGGAGGGAACTCAGCTGGGAGAGCCTCTGGGAAAAGGCTCTGGCCTGGCTGTGTCCTTCTGCAGCTGGGGTGCACTGGGATGAACTGGGGTGCTCTGGGATTCACAAGCCCAGCTGAAGGGAAACCTCCCTGAGCCTGGAGGAGCCGAAGCCTCCCCTGGCTCTGGCAGGGCCACTGCCCGTCCCCACTGCACAAACCCCACAGGGATCTGACCCCACTGAGCACCCAGAGCCCCTGGGACTCACCCAGCACTGGGAACTCTCTGACCTGGAGGTTTTTTTTGGGTTTGTGCAGCTGGTTTGGCTGGAGACTCCCACGAACCCCACGCTGAAGGTGATCGACATCAAAGCCTGCGCAGACATCGTGCACAGGCACCCGGGGGTGCTGCTGGCAGTGGACAACAGCTTCATGTCTGCCTACTTCCAGGTGTGTCACCTGCCCCAGGGCAGGGGGATTGGGAAAGGGGTTGGGAAGGGATCATATCAGGATACAAGGAGACCAAGCTAAGCCCTGGTGTTGTCAAGTCACCTTTTCTGCAGAGAGCAAAGTGCCTGGTTTTGTTCAGGGTGCTGTGATCTTGCTGAATTAAGAGAACTCTGCAGAAAATGTTAATGCTTAGCTCAAGCAGCTCTGCAGACACAGCAGAGGTTTGATGATTTCCCCTACAATGTGTTACTCACTTCAGAATTCCCAATTTGCTCCGGAAAGGGCTGTGTGGAAGAACACAGGGTGCTGGTTAATGTGTCTGGAGCAGCCTGGTGTGAAGAGAAAATCAGTGCTAATGATTAATTGGTGGGAGCAGTAGGTGAGGTACCACACTGGGCTGAGAAAAGCAGAATTTCACAGTGATCTGTCCATCGATATTGAGTGTAAAAGGGATTTTCCATGATGGTTCTGCCTGGGCATCTCCACATTCCCTGGCTGGGAGTTTGTGTTCAGTGTGGCAGCAGCAGTCTTTGCATCTGCCTGCTTTGTTCCATTTTAACAGTGATGCCCCTCACTCTTTAGAATGTGGTAATTTCCTGTGCAAAGTGCCTTAATTAGTGATTGATTAAAAATCTGGCACGGCTCATCACCTCTTGCCCATCCACCTCCTGGTTGGTGTCACTTCAGGAGGCTCCTGGGCAGAGAGCTGGGGGTGAGGGGAGGGAGAGCTGCAAAGGAACCTCCTTTGCTCATGTTCTCAGCTCCTCCAGGGCAGGGTCTCCAACAC